TAGTGACTCGGCGAGTCGGTTAGGGTTTTTCTCAACCGTTGGATATGTATGAACTTGTCGAGTTACAAGGGGGAAAACTCAACGAGTGGCCATGGAGCTTCGACCATGAATCTTAGGAACTTGACTAGTCACTCTGGTGACTCGGCGAGCAGACGAGTATTCGAGGAACTCGACGAGTAGATGAGGGTACTCGACGAGTTGAGGTCAACATGGTCTGTTGACCTTGACTGTTGACTGTTGAATTTGACCATGGGTTGACCAATTGACTTCTGGAGGACATTTTGGAAAGGTTGGAAATTTACAAGTATGGTTTACAATGAATATAGGTGGTGGAGTTTGTAGCAGTAATCCGAGAATTTGAGCTTATTTTACGAGTCGATAGTTGCAAGGTGAGTTACCTCCTATACTAAGGGGTCTAAGGCACCAAGGCCGACCTATTGAATATGTTATTCTAGCAGTGTTAGTATGTTGAGTATGAAGTTATTTTTGCATGCTAGTGATTATGCTAGTTAGGTAGATATGTAGGACTACCTGTGTTGTTATATGATTATCTGCATGCTAAGTGATTATGCTATATGTTGATATGTCATGTGGGATGGGTTGAGGTGGAACTACTTCGTGCGGTAACCAACAAACCCAGGAGCATTCCAGTTATAGGCTAAGGGAGACTCGTACTGTGGGCTCAATGGCAAGCCAGATGCAAGTTGTGGGCCCACAAGGCAATCCAGACTCACACTGTGGGCCCAGTGGGTAATCCAGTCTATAAAGCTGTGGACACGTTGCATGATGTTTAGTTTGTTATGTTATGATATTGCTGACATGGTTATGTGGATTGTGTGTGTATTAGTATTTTGGGGGAACTCACTAAGCTTTCGGGTTATAGTTTCAGGTAAATCTGGGGATCGTGGCAAGGCGAAAGCATGATCGTACAACTCCTCCTATTTTGTTTATGATTATGGAAAAACTCTAATATTGAACTATTTTGAAAACAAGAATGTAATAACTGTTGCTTTTGAATGTTTGAAAAGTTTTTAATTGGCTTGAATTTTTCGAATGTTACAGTTTTTTAGTATCGGGACTTTGACAATATGAATCCCCCAAATTTCGATAGGGTGCAGGACCCGATCATCGCCATGAGGTGGCTATCTGATGTGGAGGGGTGTTTCTTCACTTGTTCTTGTCTAGCTGACCAGAAGGTCAGGTGCGCTCTGAACCTTCTGAGGATTGGAGCAAAGGATTGATGTAGGCTTTCTACTAGTTCATATTCTGCTGAGTAGAGAGCTGCTGTGTCTTGGTAGCAGTTCTCTGAGATATTCCGCTCCCGATATGTACCGCTGGTGGAGCATGAGAGGTTGGCCCAGGAGTACCTGGATTTGAGGTAGGATTCCAAGACGGCGACGGAGATCACCAATGTAACACCCCAGCTTTCAAGTAAATTCATATTCATCCATTGGGTTTTAATTATGTCATTTTTGGTCCTTAGATTGGAAAGAAGTGGACATGGGAAGCCCTAGTGGCAAAATGGTAATTTTAGGAGCATGAGTAGTGTTGGTTTAGGTGTCTAAGCCCATAGTTACTCATGAGAAGCCCTAATGGCAAAATGGTAATTTATGCTCATTCATTTAAGTTAGCCGAACAAACGAACAGACACGAACAAGTTTTCTTGTTCATGTTCTTTCATTGAACACAGTAGGTGCCATTTTTCACATCTCTTGACTTTGGAAGTAACACATGCAACTTTCTAGAAGATCTGGTGACTAGAAGTAATTTGGAAACAATATTTTCTTTTTATTGTAAATTGAATCAACACATTAATTGAGTTGAATTCTTGTATTGTTCAACCCTTTTTAGCAATGATCGACTAAAAAACCATAACCGAGCATTCAATGAGTTGAATTCTTGTTTTGTTTCGATGCCTACTCGGCTACTCCTGCCCCCACGATTGAAGTCTAGTGGTTGAGGAGTGAAATTTCACACAAGATGTCCATGGTTCAAACCTTGACACACCTAAATATTTCTAGTGCTTCACGATTGACCTCCCATGTGGACTGCTCAAATAATGCAATTTACCATTTTTTAGTTCTTACTCCTTTTTTTGTAGTTAAGTACTGTGGATTGATGTTGAAAACAATGTCTAATTTAGCATTTCACATATTGTTTGATTCAAATGCTTGAATTTCTACTTAGTTTATGATGGCTACCTAAATTAGGTACATTTTAGTATCATTGCTTGACATCAATATATATATATATATATATATATATATATATATATATATATATATATATATATATATATATATATATATATATATATATATATATATATATATATATAAAGAGAGAGAGAGAGAGAAATGAAACTAGTAAGAAATAATGAAATGGTTCTAATACGATTAACTTAATTATAAATGTGAATTTCATGTTTTCAAACTTTCGATATTTTGAAAGGAAATGAACATTGTTGAAAATGCTTGCATAAAACTCTATGCAAGCTTTTAGTTCATTATAAAAGCTTATTTATATTTAGTTAATGTGATTAAGTTTAATTAATGATGTTTTAATTAAAATTTGTGGCAAGTAAAGAGATGCTAGAGCTTGTTAGTATATTTTACTTAAATTAGTAATTGAATTTGATATCATTTCATAATTAACTCGCATATTAGGCGGAAAGAACTTGCAACTTGATTTTTTCCCATTTTGTTTTTAAATCTTATTTTAGTTGGATGTTAGCGACAAGTTAGTTTATTCGATATGTCTCTTTTTAATCATAATTGTTTGATTCATGACTCAAGCGCCTTATGCAAATAAACATTAAAATTTTAATTTGTGTCATTGTGGATTTAACCTTTACTTTCACCGTACTTTATTTTGGTCCATATAATTGTGTGTTGTTATATATGTAATACCCTAATTTTATTTTTTTGGTCGTAAACATTCTAAAAGATGCATAAAATGCATCAACCATTTCCTGTAGAAATTGGTTGATTCACCATATCGAGATGAAAAACACGTTTCTGTATGAACATTTACACGAGACTATCTTTAGCATCAACCACTATGATTATGTTTGTCATCTTTTATACTCTCTTTATGGATTTAGACATACCCAACGATTTTGGTTTAAATGTTTTCCTAGTTTGTCATACATATTTGTATTTGCATAGTCGATCCAATTCTTTTTTTATTTACTATATGCAAGAAAAATATATGGATTATCTACTTCTGTATGTCGATGACATTCTCGTAATTCTGTCATCCATGACATCTCCATGATCGATTTTAGGAACTTAATTATTCCTCGAGATCTCTACCGCTCATAGTTTAGCATGTTTATTTTGTAGCTAATAGAAGTCTGCCACAACAATCCTCGAGTGTGTAGGCATGCAAAACTGCAAGCCTTGTGATGTACCTACTGACATACAATATAAATTAGACGCCTATAACACACCCACCGTCAATCTCTCAAAGGAGTTTAGCTAGTGCTTTTCAATACCTTACCTTCACATGAACAAATATTACCTATTTTGTCTAACAAGTTTTGCTCTTTATATACATTCTTTGGTATGTTTGTGGTATCGTTGATTATATATTTAAAGCACATCCATTTGTATGTTTGGGGGTACCGTTGATTATAGATTTTAAGCACATTCTTTGGAATGTTTGGGGTACAATTGATCATAGATTTTAAGCACACTCTTTTATGATGTTTGGGGGTACCATTGATCAGAAATTATAGGTTAATGTCTTCTCTAGTATATGTCTTAATGCATATTTAGATGTCGACTTAATGCATATTTAGATGTTGACCGGGGATGTTACTCAGCCTTACACTCAACATATGGATAATGCATGATTATGGATAATAATTTGCTATAATGGTCCTCTAAAGGAGAATGTGGCATCCCTTATTCCAATATGAGAGTAATATTATGGGCTCGTCAATACGGTATCGAAACTTGTTAGCTTTGCAACCTTCTATTGAAATTGCATTCTTCACCTTCCAAAGTAATGATCGTGTATTGCGATAATGTCACTGCATTGCGACAATGTCAATGTCATCTACATGACTCAATTCAACATCAACGAACCAAATATATTAATATAAACATCCGTTTTGTTTGTGATTAGGTTGCCATGGGACAAGTTCAGTTTTACATTTTACCTCCAACGCATTCTATACCAATATCTTCACTAAAGAGGTTTTCTTCATCTTTATTTAATGAATTATTGTCTAAATTAAATGTTCATACTATCCTTGCAATAAAAATAATGAAGGACGTTAGGGATGTTAATGGAAGATATTAAGTCTAATCAAATATATAAACTATGCTTAGCTAGAGGGACAAGTGATTGGGTTAAATCTTAGTATGAGAGACATGTTGGATGCAATTATGTTAAAACGCTATCTAATAAGTAATAACTTATGTCTCGCTTTCGACCTACGTGTTCCTAAAATGAATGTGACTTTAGGATTGATTCAATTATTTGGTTCGATTCTGCATTTGTATTGACATCAACCAAAGTTGGTAAAAGGACCATTACAACCAAACTTTGAAAATCATTTATCATTTAATAATTCGAAAATAGATAATTATTAATAGTTTTATGTATATCTTACAAATCTCTCAACTTCTTAACTAAATATCCAAATTTAAATTTAATTTAATGTGCTTATTAAATAAAATATTTTACACTTAATGCTAATCACATTAGAGTTAAAAACCAGTTAATAAAGCGTTACAATCTAGAAAAAAACATTTTATATTTTATAATATATACACAAACTGTTAGTTCTTATCGTCAACGCAAAAACCCACCGGCTATCGGCAATCGGCAATCGGCAATCGGCGTCACCATCGATCCTTTTTTCTTATACTTTACGCCTCGTCATTCGCTGGTAAACTACTATACCTAAACAGTCTTCCTCACGTCACTTCCTTTGGTTTTATCCATATATAGCTGCGACGATTCTACTCAGATCGATATTGACCACAACAATGGCTTCCGAAGAACAAGTGAAGAATTCTGCATTCGATACAGAAGCTGCTAACTGTTTAGTCAAGGAGTTGAGAGGCACGGTTGTCGCTGGAAAAACGAAGAGCTACGAGTGGAGAGTATCACAGTTGAAGAGCTTGTTGAAGATGGTGGAAGAGCGCGATAAGCAGATTTGCGATGCTTTATTCTCTGACCTCTCGAAGCCTGAGATGGAAGCTTTCATCCATGAGGTCAATTTTTTTTTTTTAGGTTTTGATTTTATTGATGCTCTACTTGCCTACATATAGGTTTCGATTTCAGTATATTGATTGCGTACGGAATTCTTTGGTTGATTGGGAGTGCAGTTGATTAGATCTGGTTGTGTAATAAATTCATACATGACATGTGCGTGTGTGTGTTCCAGCTAGTATGTACACTCACTTTCTCCTGCAAAAAAGTTCATTCGATTTTCGAGGTTCAAACTACAATTAAATGCAATCCAAAACCAAATTGACCTAAAAACTTTTTGAATTCAATATTATTTGAGTAGTAGTTTACTAGTTGATTCTACACAATTTTTTGCCATACATGCATTATATAGTTGTACAATACAACATTTTAAAGCACCAATTGTTGTGTATAGAGGAAAATTGTTGTATACGGATAAGCTCCTGTTGATTTTACTTGTACAAAAATGGTTTTGATAACTCATTTGTGAGTCAAAATTCAAATATGAACTCTTTTATCATAAGTATATTACAGACACACTGATGCTCTGTTTTTCCTCCAGGAATTAATTGCTCAATTCTTTTAGTTGGTGAATGCATTAAATGCTGAAATTTGAAGTTCCCTATAATGATGAATTCTTTTGTGTTTTTTAAAGTAGATATGTCCTTTTGTTGTACTAATTGATTTTGTCATCTATGGTGTAGCAGCTTATTGAGGCTCCTATTTGTACAGAACCAAAAGTTGCTCAAATTTTGCAGATTATTTATGACTAAAACATCCAATCATATTTTTTAAATTTGATGGTTTGTTGAAACTATGATTGAGCCTTTGAATTTAACAACTTCTAGAAATCAAAAGGATTTTTTTTTTTTTTTGCATGTACTCTATGAAACTTGCATAGTTGAATATATTGTGGTTGTTATAATATTTGGTGTGGTCAAGCTTCTACATATTAAATATTATAATTTAAGATATTCTATCCTTTACTGAAATAGATCATTCTATTGCTTTATAATGCAGATTGCTCTGATAAAAAATTCATGCAAGGTGGCACTGAAGAAACTTAAAGAGTGGATGAAACCAGAAAAAGTAACCGTTTTTGGATTTTAAATGACATAAAACTTTTCATTTACTTTTAAAAGGGAAGTTTATATAATGTATATATATATATCTTGATAATTCTTTGCAGGTGAAAACTACTTTAAGCACTTTTCCTTCATCAGCAGAAATAGTCCCAGAACCTTTGGGGGTTGTTTTGGTCATTTCAGCATGGAACTATCCTTTCTGTATGTTCTTGACTTGGTTTTCTTCTGTATCTGTCACATTTGTCTCATGTCTTTTACACACACCGGACATGATTGGATAAGCTTTGTAGCGTTGTTTTCAATAATGAGGATGAGGGCATTTACGTCTTTTGTTTGCAGTGTTGTCTGTTGATCCAGTGATAGGAGCAATTGCAGCTGGGAATGCTGTTGTTCTGAAGCCCTCAGAAATTGCTCCAGCCATGTCTTCATTGCTGAAGAAACTTCTAGAAGAATATCTGGATAATTCTGCTGTAAAAGTTGTTGAAGGTGGTGTTCCTGAAACATCTGCACTTCTGGAACAAAAATGGGATAAAATCTTCTATACAGGTCTTTCTCTGATTCTTCCTTTTTAACAGTCTGAATAAATAGTAAATGACCATTTTACCCTTTTGAATCTTTTCAGGGAATGGGAGAATTGGGCGAGTTGTCATGGCTGCTGCTGCAAAGCACCTGACACCTGTAGTCTTGGAACTTGGAGGCAAATCTCCTGTTGTGGTTGACTCAAACGTTGACTTAACTGTAGGGAGCTTTCTTATTTACACTTTAGTCCCCCCATGCCTTCTGGGCTTTTTCTTTTCGTGGTTAATTTAAATATCCATTTTTTTATTTTAAATACTTTTTATAGGTGACAGCAAGGCGTATAATTGGAGGTAAATGGGCATGCAACAATGGACAAGCTTGTGTAGCTCCTGATTACATAATCACAACAAAACAATTTGCTCCCACATTGGTACGTATGTTTCTTTAAAAACCCTAAATCATTTACATGTGTAAAAGACGAAAATACCCTCAATATCTTCATCATCAAAACTCGCCTTAAAAAGCTTGTCTGATCAGGACAAGACTGGAACAGATGTGACTAGACAAGCTTTTTAAGGCGATTTTTGATGATGAAGATAACAAGGGTATTTCCGTCTTTTAATCACTTGTACAGATAGACACTATAAAACAAGAGTTGCTAAAGTTTTATGGGGAAGATCCTTTGAATTCTCCGGATATATCTCGAGTTGTGAACTCCAATCATTTTGCTCGGTTGTCAAAGCTATTAGATGATGATAGGGTTTCTGGAAAGATAGTTCATGGAGGCCAAACAGACAAGAGTAGCCTGTGAGTTTTATTTCATGTTTCCCATATTTTATTTTGTTAAAAATTTACTTAATTACCTGATTAAGTCGTGATGTTTTTTTTATCTGTTTTAGAAAAATTGCCCCAACTATTGTTCTGGATGCGGAGGAAGATTCCCTCATTATGCACGAAGAGATATTCGGTCCTTTACTTCTTGTAGTAACGGTAATTTTTTTTTTACCAGCCACAGTAAATTCTCACCCGGTTAAAATTTTCGAATAAATTTACTTTCTTACCCTCTGGTAGGTTGAAAAAATTGAAGATGGCATTGACTTTATCAACTCAAGGTCAAAGCCTCTTGCAGCATACATATTTACCAACAACAAGCAACTCAAACAAGATTTTGTCAGCAACATCTCTTCTGGAGCCATAGTCGTTAATGATATTTCCTTACACGTACTACTCATCTTTTACCATTACTTTATGCAAATGACAAAAATGCCCTCCTCATTGTTGGTTTTGTTATTATGCAGCTTATGGTTGACACATTGCCATTTGGTGGAGTGGGGGAAAGTGGAACAGGGGCATACCATGGTAAATTCTCATTTGATGCTTTTACCCATAAAAAAGCAGTTTTACATAGAAGCTTTTTGGGAGATGCTCCAGCAAGATACCCACCATACACAGCTGGCAAGCTTAGGCTTCTGAAAGCTCTTTTAGATGGCAGTATCTTTGGCATCATTCGCGCTCTTTTCGGCTTTTCGTAAATGTAAATCCGTAATTTTCACAACCCGTTTGCTTTCATTTCCGTTAAAAAGTTCAAATGTTTCCGTTATCTTTACATTTGTACAACATCGTTACAAACAAAAACATGTGAATTCATCTGTATGATACAAGTTGCGCATCTTTTAGCAGAAAGCAGATACAAACAGGATTGACAGTTTGTCTAAAATGACTAATGAAAATGAAAAGGAAACGAACTTAAATCTAAATAGGCTTAGCTCATTAGCATGAATCTTGTAAGATATTAAAACACTCGGATCGTTGTTCTTCGGACAAATTTTGTGGGAACTTAACCGAAAACTTGATGTTCAAGTTTCCTCTCTTTCCTTGTTCTTTAAGTAAACACATGCCTTCTCCTTCGATTGTTTTCGTGTAACCTGGGTTAATGACATCATCATCGATGGTCAAACGTGATTCTTGACCACCTAAAAAAGGTATGGTAACTGTACAACCGGTCAATGCATCTACTAAAGGAAGCTCGATTGCTACTTCTAAATCGTCTCCGTTTCTTTTAAAAACGGGATGTCGTTTCTCGTCAATCACAAACATTACATCCGCAATGCAAGTTGGTGAGGTTTGGTTTCCCTTACCCTCAAATGTGATCTTTGTTCCTTTCTTCCATCCTGGTTTTACGTTTATCGTTAGCACTTCATCTTGTTGTATTACTTGCCTAGACAAGATAAAGTCACATGAACACTACATCAGTCTCTATACATCAAATGCAGTGCAACATGTTAGGTTGTGTCCTCTATTACTAATCTTGATATCAATACATGCATACCCGTCGTCTGTAACTATGTCTCGTTTGATGTAGACCTTCTTGATGCAACCAAAACACAAGTCTTCAAGGGTGCACTCGAGTCGCTTCACAGTATCGGGAGGCTTTCGAAGTCCGTTAACATCGGAATACAAGATTGTTGAATTGTTCCTTGTCGGGTTGACATGGAACACGGAGCCTTTAGGTAAAAAACCAGTGCTTGCGGTTCTTGAAAGTCTTGGAACTGAGACTCTAGGTGAGATAAGACCTTCGGTTTCATGAACATCCCTCTCCAAGTCGACCTAAAATGTATTTAACCATATTTAAAATCGTTAACACCATAAATTGGCGAATCTAACATCGTACTTTTATACTTTACTCTATCAACATAGACAATATAATTTAGAGAAAATGTATATTTAACCCTATCCACCTTTCACCAACCGTTCTCATTGCTAACATGCTTAGATATGGTAAATAAAAGTAATCCAATGTAAACAAAATGTTAAACCCTAATGTAGTTTTTCTTTGAGTAAATTACTGAAATCGTCCCTATGGTTTGGTTAAAATTGCACGTTTAGTCCCTAACTTTTCTTTTGCACTCGGATCGTCCCTGTGGTTTGATTTTGTTGCATTTTTCGTCCATATGGTTTGATTTTGTTGCGTTTTTCATCCCTTACATACATAAAGTTAGGGACCAAAGATGCAATTTTGACCAAACTATAGGGACGAAAAATGCAACAAAATAAAACCATAGGGACGATTTCAGTAATTTACTCTTTTTCTTTTATCCATAATAGCAATACACTTACGATTCCTTACTCACAAATCACAACAAGAATGTGCTTACCCACAAATCACAACAAGAATGTGCTTACGCTTGTTTAATTTACCATTAGCTAAAATCGCCATTGTTAATAAAGCAATTAAATTATGGGATTCTTATAAACGAATAAAAATTGGAATGATTTTTTAAATGTGTATGTGATATAAGTTATGATCATTAATTTGTTGGGAATTGGAAATGGAAATGGAACCTGGAGATGGTGTTTGTCCTTGCTCTTCACACGTGATTTTTTTGCCGAGACGATGTTTGGAGATGAATGATTTGCATGCTTTTCGAACGCCTCCCATTCTCACACACGTTGATCCCATGCATGCAGCATCAGGAATATGATACAAGAATTTGTACGTTGACGAGAGCTATATATACCAACTATACCTCAACAATTAATCAATTATGTTGCAACATATCGATGATTTCATCTCTTGTTCTTTTCTGTTATGTCCTTTCCTTAAATTACGCAATCTCAACGCCATGAAATCTTATTCTGAACACAAAAACAAAACCCATTTCTAAATTAACACCCTCATTTTTTTGCCATTTTGGAAAGAAGAAAATTTCATTGATGTTTTTTTTTTGTTTTGTTTTACTTACTAGATTATAGCCCGCGTTAAACGCGGGAAACGCATAAAAAACATATAATTGTTTATAGATATTGTATAATGATTATAAAAAAAAATATATGGTTATTGGTATTATTGAAATATGTAGAAAATACATTGAAAACGATAAATATATATAATCATTGAAAGATCTCTTTGTAGACATCATTTTTTGTTTTATTAGTTGAACGATTTTCATCGTCTTATATAGTTATGATATTTATATATTTATAAGCATTTTAATTAGACGTTCATTGCATAATAATGTTACCTAATTTAAACATATATTGACAATCAATATACCATTTTTTCTATTGCATTAAATATTAACAACTATTTTATTTATTCAAATAAAGTTATGTAATATAATTTATAAAGTGTTAAATGTTATATAGATTTAATTTTAGTATATCATCAATGAAGATTCTTTTCTAAATCATGATTGATTTATTTTAAATTGATTATAAATATAAATGCTAGTTTTTATGTTTGTTCTTATTTATTTAGTGTTCGCAAAAATTTTGGCGCAACTTTGAATAATTTTAGTATATCAATTTATTTTGATATATCTGTCAATTATATGAAATATCAAATAATGACATTTCATTACTATTGTGATAATTTAGTTTATATATTCTATTTTCACTAATCTTAACGGTCTTATTTTTTCTAATAACCGTAACGCTTTTACTAAATGTACTTTTTACAAATCTCCTAATATCTTATAATTTTAATCTTACTTTATAATTTTTCATAACTATGTTATTTTCAAATTGACTGCTTTAATAGTGTTTTTTTTTTCAGTCTATTCAATTTTATATTTCATTGTACAACATTATCGTTTGTATGTATTCTGAAATTTCACTTTAAAAATGTTTAATGTTTACACCTTGATATTAATTTTTTTAATAAACTCATGTAATAATTATGGAATATATATCTCATTTTAATTAACATTCACTTCCTTTATTATATCAAATTCCTCATTAAACGGATATACTTTTGGAAAATAATAATTATAATAGGGCAACATTATCTAAAACGTAAATGTTTGATATACTTTTGGAGAAAAAAAAATCAGGATCATTAAAAAAAATTTATATAAAGAAAATACAAATTTAAATTTGTTGAAATTATGGATGAAATTACTGACGAAAATTTATTTTGGAAGGAGTTGTATTTTGTAAGGTATAATAATATTACAAAATTTGAAATATCTATATTTGTTGTGTAAATTAATAAATTTTATTGTTACTATACGAAGATAAAAAAGTAGGTTGATATGATATCTAAAAACATAATAATTTCAATGATATTTTAAAATCATGCCAAAATTAACCAGATTCTTATGACATAAAAATTTAAAAAAAAATCATAATCATCTCTAATATATAAAAGTAACATTTTCGTAATTAATGTCAGTTACCAGGATGGTTATTTTTTGTTTTGTTAAAGGTACCTAATACCTTTTCATGTTTATTTGAAAAGTTTCAGAAAAGTAGTTAACTGATTTCATGTAATTTGTGACAAAGAAAATCGAAATATATGAATACATACATTTGATATAGGAACAAAAAATGATCGAAAAAAATATAAAAAGCGAAAGAAGGTACTGACCTTCTAGCGCACAAGAGCTAATGTTGATAGCAGAGAATGATGATGGAAGTTATAAGCAATATTAACGATGTTGTAGGAGAATGTTTGACGAAAAGAAACGATTGAAAATAAATGTGAATCGCGGATTCAATGATGAATCGTATATGTATGTGATAATTAGAATATGATTTTTCGGTATTAATGATTTCCTAATAAAAAAAAGATTTTATATTACTGGTTTACTAATATAAACGGATTTGTATTAATGGTTGATATTAAGGCCTTGATTGAAATGATTTGTTAGTAATATATTTTTAAAATTGATCATATTAAAATCTTTATAACTAAAAATTCAAGATGTAAAATATGGAAAGATTTTATTGGAATTAAATACATTCCATTTCAATGAATGTAAATTATTGATTGATGATTGGAAAACATTTATTGGAATTAAATACATTCCATATGGGGAAGATGATGTCAGCAATTTGATCTAAGAGTGGAAAAAATAAGATTGAAATACAATCAATGGTCTAGATTATTTAAGATGATGTCATAAAGTTTCTCTTTTAGTAATATTTAAGATTTTTTTTTTCTTCGTAAAAGCAACTTTTCATGAGTTGTAAAATAGTCATTACGTGGTAGATTCCATAAATAAGCATAAATCCGTACTAATAAATGAAAGTCTTTTTGTCATATTATGTTTTCATGCATTTTGATACATATAATTTTGTGGTTAATTCTTAAAAAATAATTTTCATCTGTCCTTTTGTGGTAAGTTTTTATTTTCTTAATTAACCATCTAATTTTTAGGTTATAGAAAGTAATTATTAGACTAGTTATGTATCTGTATAGACTTTTCATTTATTGTTGTATATTTGAGGGTATTATGTGTATCTTTATTTATTATATATATGTGATAACTCTAATGTCTATTGGTGTGGAAACCCATTATTTCATGGTATCAGGCCAAAACCCCCTCCCTTCCTCTCCCTCTTCTTAACCGATCATTCTCCTCCTTTCTTCTCTTATCTTTCAGTTTTTTCTTGTCACCATCACAGCTTCATCCATGGCTGGCTCCTCCATTGATGCTACTCTATCCATGAACATTCTCCTTCACCTCATACCATCCGCTTCTCCTCTAACAATTATCTCTTGTGGGTGAACCAAATGACTCCTCTCCTTAACTATCAACAACTCCTTGCTCACGTTGATGGATCCTCTTCAGCTCCTTCTTCCCACCTTCTGGTTGACAACAAGCAAGTTGAGAACCCTGCTTTTGCGGAATGGCATGCTGCGGATCAACGGGCAATCATCATTCTTCAAGCCTCCCTCACGGAAGAAGCATTTTCTGAGGTAGTGGGCCTCTCTTCCGCTCGTGCTATATGGACCGCTCTTGAATCCGCCTATGGGAACTCTTCCAAGGAACGTGTATAAAATCTTCGTGATCAACTACGGCTTCTCTCTAAAGGAACCTCCACCGTCTCTGAATATGGACGAAAATTTAAGGCGATTGTGATCAATTGGCAACTATCGGCCAAGCTGTTACCGAATTTGATAAAAATCATTGGTTCCTATTTGGTCTTGGCAGCGATTTTGAAGTTTTCTCCATTGGGGTTCGGACCTCTCATCTCTCTCCAACTTTTCGGGACCTCCTGGCTCAAGCCGAAAGTAGCGCAAAGAGCACTATACTATGAGTAAGGATGTGTAGTAGCGCAAAGAGCACTCTTTGGCCTTTAGATTAGGGGTTCGGACCTCTCATCTCTCTCCAAATTTCCGGGACCTCTGCTGAATCTGCGCCCATTAGGGCTGCTGCCTCTGCCACTGCTGGTCGGGGTCGGGATGGTGACTCCGGTGGTCGTGGTGGTCCTCACGGTGGTCGTGTTCGTGGCCGATGGTCACCCCACTGCCAACTATGTCGACAAAACGGTTATTTTGCTAATGCTTGTCCACAACTTCCGACATTTGCTTCTCAGTCTGCCCCTAGTGAAGCCGATTTTGCAAAAAAATTCCTTGCAAATTGTCGTGTGACCCCATCCGGCCCGGATTGGTATGTTGATTCCGGTGCCTCGGACTACATGGTTTCTTCTTCAGGCTCGGTTGCTAAACACGAACCTTTTGTTGGTGATGACTCGGTTCACTTCAATAATGGTAATAGTCTTCCCATTGCTGCTATTGGGACTTCATCTCTTCCCAATGATATTCGGTTGCAGGATGTTTTGGTGGTTCCCCGTCTTACTAAAAATTTATTATATATTAGAAAGTTAACATACGATAATAACATGGATGTGATTTTCTCCAAATCTTTGTTTTACATTTAGGATCAGACAACAAAACAAATTCTGGCTCAAGGAACCTGTGATCGGGGGCTTTATGTTCTTCCAAATAAGTTGGTGGCTTGTGCGTTTTATGCTAAGAAGCGACCAAAGGCGTCTTTTGAATTATGGCACTCCCGTTTAGTGCATGTGTCTTTTGATGTTATTTCTATATTAAATAAACTTGGTCATGTGTTTGTTTCTTCTATTTTACCTAAACCGTTTACTTGTTCTCCTTGCCAACTTGCTAAGTCTCATCGGTTGCCTTTTGACAATAATGACCAACACGCCACCCATGTTTTAGATTTGATCCATTGTGATATTTGGGGTCCTTCCCCGATTGATTCGGTTGCTTCATACCGATATTATGTCACCTTTGTGGATGATTTCTCTCGCTTTACATGGCTTTACCCGTTCAAGTCTAAATTGGATTTTTTTAGCATTTTCGAATTATTTATCGCCTTTGTAGAGACTCAATTCTCTACCAAAATTAAAAATTTTCAAAGTGACAGGGGTACGGAATTTCTAAACAACAAAGTAAAGGCGTTATTGCATAAACATGGTGTATTTCACCGCATCTCATGCACATATACCCCCCAACACAATGGGCGGATTGAACGCAAACATCATCACATTGTGGAGACGGGACTCGCCATGATGTTTCATGCTCACATTTAGGTTTCTTATTGGGCTCATGCTTTTAGCTCTGCTGTGCATGTTATTAATCGTCTCCCCACAAAGATGTTGTCCATGAAATCACCATTTGAGGTCTTGTTCGGACGGGTGCCATCTTATGAGAATTTTTGCATTTTTGGGTGTCGTGTCTATCCGCATTTGCGTGACTATGCGGATCATAAACTTTCTCTGTGGAGCATCCATTGTGTTTTTGTGGGTTAACGCTCAATATAAAGGCTACTTAAGTCTTGATCCGGTTTCGACATGGGTTTTTGTTACCCGCCATACCCGGTTTGATGAAGAGTGCTTCCCGTTTCGTGCCACCCACACAAATGCTCTTATTGGGTCTTTACCCATTACATACG